GTGTGTGTGGGAAAAAGTTCGTGGCGTTTTTCCCGTTACATCTAACTTCCCACGAACTTTTTCCCATACCTAATATATATATTGTATATGTGCTGTGTCTGTGTGTATAATCATTAATTATATATTAAATATTATAAAATTTAATGATAATTTACATAATAGTCGGAGTATGATTTATACAGTGTTCCCAAGTCGAAGAATAATCTCTGATCAACCAAAGCTCGTTTTTTTGGATCTTTTGGATAGAGAGAATCTTTCTTGCCATATTGATTGGCTAAGTAGGTCATAATCGCACGACTGCAAATTGATGCAAGCTCTTAATTAATTAATATCATATAGAAATAATATAGAATATTATTAAACAATTTGTAAATAAAATATTTATTTAATATGTAGAAATCTAAAATTAACTCGTTTTATCCAAATATTGAATTTCAAATAAATAACTCAAAAAAGTATAACAAAGTTGTATACAATTATAAAAAGTATATATGTATATTATTAAAAGTATACATTTATTTTATGTGCAAAAATTAGATATTTATTAAGTTTTAATATAAAAATTTAAAGAAGAATACCTTTCATATAAATAAAAGCCGCCGTCATCCAATGTAGGTATTGTATGTTGTGGATTCATCTATTAAGAGCAATACGTTATAAAATATTTTAAATTATTTTAAATTAGCTTGAAATTTGAAATACATTTTTATTCAATAAAAAAAAAGTAAACTATAAAAATCTAGGAACACAACAGATTTGCTTTTTAATATTTAAAGAAAGTTTAAGAAAAATACGTTTGAAAAATTTTCAGGTTCAATTATAAATTACTGTATTTTTCTTCAGGCATTCTTTTTTCTTTAAAAAAAAACGCAAATAAATCCTTGTAGTTTGGACATAATAATCTCAGATAATTTAATTTAAAGGATTCATTTGTATCTTTAAATGCTTTGTTTTGTAAGAAATTTGATTACGAATTACCTTAATAAATTCAGGTTTTAGGTGTTCGCCGGTAGCGAGATCCACCTTTTTCAGATTTAAATCAACTTCTAAGGCCGCCGCCGTCAAGAGCACGGCCCGACATGGTGGACTTCCAGTAAGTTGATAAAGATCAATAGGCATCTTGAAATCTGTGAATGTGCGCAACACTATTAATAAGTAATCACTGTGATCTCTAGCGAAGTATTCGAGCGACGCGAAACTATTTTCGACGATACATGGGAGTTTTCATGTTTAAAAGAGCATTGAAAAATAGAAAAAAATGGAGAAAAGTAATTAAAATATCAGATACAATCTGTTGACATTATCTCATACAAATTTAACTCGAGGCACATAAATTTGCGTTATTAATTAGTTAAGCAAACTTATTAATTATAGGGCGGAAATTATGGTGAACCGTAGAGTTACACATTTAACTATATACTGAGCAGAAAATAAATCAAAAATTTTATAAATAACATTTGTTTCATAAAGAATATTCATAAATTATTGCGCAATAAGAAACAATTTAAGCACTCGCCGGATTACAGTTGTTTTCGCGCACGAATCACGAATATTCACAATTGTTCAAGTAGTTTTCTCACTCTAGCAGTTTTGGCAAATTATTTATAACAGGTGAAAAAAAATGGAGATAAGTAATTACAACGGACCAGCAGATTTTATTCACCAGAGGCGTGTAGCAAGATTATGGTAGACTGACTAGTCAATTTATTTATTCGAGCTATTTATAAAGTCCGTGTAACACGGAACAATCTCTGTTTTCCACGTACGTAAGAGTGAGATCGATAATCAAGTATGTTGAGGGTTCTTAATGCTACTTAATAATCGAGGATATTGCCAGTTTCTGCTTCAAATATTCCATTTACGTAATAAATAATAATCATAATTGCATAATAAACAATAAGAAATCTCTTACAATAAGTAACATGATCGATATATATTATTAAGGGACCAGATACCTAGTGGTAAAGAAGTAATATTTTACTTTGTGTGAATTGACTTTACTGATTACTCAATCGCTCTTGCTCATGACATGACATCTTATCATTACACTTATCTAATTGCACTGTACAAATACTAGCTAAAAATTATTGCTATTTATAAACAGATTTTGTAAGTTTATGTTGTCTGAAATATAAAATAAATCAATTTACATTATATTTCTAATAACTTCAATTATCATAAAATAATATAACTTTTCTTTGACGTTTCTAAAAAAGGAAATATTTATAGTTAATGTTTTTCCTAATTAACAATTTCCTAGTCAGCATTTTTTTAATAATCGGCATTAATTAATTTCGGTACGTCCATGATTTGTTATCTTATAAAAAATTTGCAAGTCATGCTTTTCTTACATGTTTGCATTCATTACATTGCATTAAACATTAAAGATTTAGTATTATCAGACAAATGACTCGGTCAGATTTGTATCAGTAACGGAAAAAAATAATGTTCAATCTCGTTTCGCTATCATTGGCTACAATATCAACTTTGATAAGAATTTTCTATATTACAAAGTCAACAAAAAGTAACATCGTAATAGCGAAATACAATGATACACACATTTATTTTCATTTTTTTAAAGCTCATGTAAGTTTTATAATTAAAAATTGTAAATCTTACATAAATGTAAATTGCTTTTATATGTAAAATATCATCTTTCAAAGAACTCAGCAGATAAACCATTTAATAGCAAATAGGAAAACATTTACTGTCTTTGTGGCCTTGAGTTTCAAGATTTCTTCTTACTTCAATACACATTTGATAAGTTGCGCGTAGCATCGTACGAATGTAAAGAATAAAAACGATATTTCGATATCAATGTTAGCATCGGAAATAAAAGCTACGGCGAAAATAATGATAAAAAAGAAAATCAATAATTTTAATAGCCAAGTATAATTCTCTTGAGAAATTAGCGATGGAAGATATTAGCTTTTCTAACAATAAGTTGCAGCAGAGGTAAATTCCTCTTTCCCATCCTTTCCATCGTTTCTGTATATAATTTTAAATAAACTTTTCGTTTATCTTAAGTGATATTTATTTGAAGGCTGAATACGAAGATACTTCTGTTTATATAAAAAATAAATTCTTCTTAATATTTGCTAAAGAAAAATACTGCAAATAACCCGTAACTAACTGGAGCATCAAAACATTTTATGTATGCGTTTATATATGTCTATGCGCTCAAACGTATATATATATATATATGGCAATTATACTTTTTTCCAATTTTATAATAGTTTAATTTTAATGCTTATAAATTGTACACTAACACATTTTTATGTTTAATGACGTTTTGCGAATGAATAATTATTAGTTAAACCGCCAAAAATTTTTTTTATCCTTTTTAATAGTAATTATGTTTTTTTTAAATAAAATATTTTATTCACAATATATAAAAATACAATAATACCGAAAGACGAAAATTATGAAAAGATCTGTTGTTACTGTACTTGCAAAAAATAAACTTGACATTATTTCTTATACTTTTTGAGACAAAGAATCTGATAGTATTAGTTAATTACATTCCCTACTTGGCCTCGAACATGTTCGTGCAAGCGCTAGAAAATTTTTCGTTGCGTCTAATTTTTTTACTATTAAATATAGCATTTTATAAGATCTATAATATCAAAACATAATGTATCATATTATGTATTATCGACATGTAGCGTAGCGAGCTCTCTCATGAATTATAATACAACGCGTATGAGTTATATCCTGATTTTTAAATTAATTTCTTGTATTCTTGTCATACTCTGACATTAAAATAAATTTTTTTATATTGTGATAATTTTAAAACACATAATTTTAATTAGTTCCCCCCCCCCCCTTGAACTGATTACCTTAAAAATTGTAAGAAATGATGTCGATTTTACTTTCCACGAGCACAACTAAAAAAACAGATCTTTATGTAATATATACTTTTTTCATAAGTAATCTTCGTACTATAATAATATCATATAATTATTTGATATAATAAAAGATATAATAAAAGTTTAGGAGATAATAATAAAACAAAATAATGTAATTTTGACACACACACACACACACACACACCACACACACACACCACACACACACACACACACACACACACACACACACACACAATGTACATTCATACACAATAGTGTAAATTATTATAAATGACAAATATAACGATTTACAGTCGAACCTCCGTAAAATTAACCTTCATTTTATTTTAACTTCCATAAAAGTCATGTCTTAATTTCCCATAATTGAGCATATATTCGAGCATGCGTATTTATTTACTTTTACGGAGATCGGTCGGTAGATCTCGACAAATTATTTTTATAGAGCTTCAACTGTACTTACGATAAAATATTAAAAGCTTTGATAATGTCTTGTTGCTAGACGATAATGTTATAATTATGATTGTGTTAAAATTAAAAATACACTTATTGGAAGTAGAGACATTTATATGAGTAATCATACATATTCAACATTCCAATAAATAATATACTATATTTATAATTTTTATTACTTCATGTTATATTTATTTTTTTGATGCTCTTATATGCTATATTCATATAATATGATTCTTTCTTACACAATTCTATTATTATTATACAATTCAATAATTATGTACACATTAATATATTTATTAATATTTAATTACTTATAAAAATAAACGTATTTTTACTTCAACTTTCTGTATGAAGTACATATGATAAAATAATAGTTTTCTATAACCATTATGAGTTGCAACTTGTATTTTTATCATAGATCAATTGAAAAGTAATCGTTATTTAAATTGTATTTCAATGTATTTCATATATATTCCAAGAATTAAATAAATTCCTATTAATACTGTTAGGTTAAAATTTATTGAACAAAATATATAAATAATTAATTAAACAAGATGTTATAAATAAAAATATAGAAAAAAATTTCCTATAGTGTGTATGGGTTTTGTAATCTTTAAAAGATCATTACTCGACATACGACACAGATGGAATGACATATGTTGAATGTGAATAATGTAGAATTTTAGTAGTGGCATTGCCATCAGTCGGCATATTACTCATTTTCGACGTTTTAAATTTTAAATAAAAAAAAATAATAAAAATTTAAAAAATTATAAGAAATTATAGGAAATATATATATATAGTATAATTTGAAATTAATCAAATGTTGTAATTTTTCCAAATTAATATAACACTAAGACTTATTGTTATTATATTAATAATTTATTTTTTTATCTTATATTATGCTTGCAGGTATTACTTCTTTATTTGTTTGTGTTCTTATTTTTATATTTATAAAATATATTTATAAAATATGTGCAAAAAGTGCAGAAATAATATTATATATATTATAATGCGTTTAAAAATCAACGTACAATTATTTTAAATATGAGTTTTGATAAAAACCTTATTCAATAAACAATATTTTTTTCGACACAATTACTTGATTAAAATTTAATTGATAGCATTATACGTAAACGTTTTATATATTTAATTTGTGTTTAGCTTGAAGATTCAAATTAAAATAATGTATTACGTATATTATTCATTTTCTTCTTCTCCTCCATCTTCTTCTTCTTTTTCTTCTTCTTCTGCTTCTTCTCCTTCTCCTTCTCCGTCTTCTGTGTTGCTTTGTGAAGCTTGTACCATTTGCTTGAACATCTCAACAGGTTCACCATTAGCTTTCTCGTATCCAGGTACAGATGTTTGTATTCTCTCCAACCAGTCAGAAATGTTATTGTATTCTCCCAAATCAAACCCAAAAATCTAAACAATCGATTAATTTTGCAAATCTCAAAATAAATTCAAAATATGTGACAACTGACAACAAAGCAATTAAATCTATATAAAATTACTAATAGGAGAGGAAGAGTAATCTTAAAAATATCTACAAAAAAGAAAGATTAACAATTAACATGTAGCATTTTGTCATTTTAATTTGTTCTAAAAATAAATTGTAGTCAATTAATACTACATAACACTATTAAACCATTACCATCGCTGTTGTTACTGATGCAACTAAGGAAAGATCGGCGATCGTTAAATTATCTCCAGCTACGTAAGCTTGTCCTTCAAGAAAATTGTTCATGATTTGAAAATTCTCTATTAGTTTTTCAAATTGTGCTGGATCATACGCTTCGATTTCCTTTCTGAAGACTTTCAACTATGATCACAGAATGTGCAATGATTCACATGCAGCCTCAATATGATTTATTTAGAAATAATGAAACGTATACGTACGTAACACTCAAATATATTCGCAAAAAGATTACCAAGATCGAAATATAATCGTTGATTAACTAAAGCACGTGTCTCTATATTACGCGGATATAATGTATCATCCTGGCCATACTGATCGACCAAATAAGCCATGATAGCTCGGCTAAAATGTCATTTCTTGATAAAAATAGTATTTATATATATATATA